CACACCTCAAGCCTGAGGACCTGTAATTGTTTCCTGCACAAGAGGTCGGCTTCCTGGCTGTTTTAAATTTTAACCATCCTTAAGGATGGACTGTTTGGCACCTTTGAGGTTTAGATAGTTCACTGCACTCAGCGCTAAGTGAATTTTGTAGGGCCAGTGCAAAGCTGCTTGGGCATACAGAGTTCTCTGCTAGGGATGTGAGGTCGTTGAACAGTGTCTCACATTACCTTTTGTTCCATGATTTCTAGAGAATTTGTCTTGTACTCCCTGTCATTTGCATCTTTAGGGTTAAGTTATTTGTCTGGCACATTTTGGAGCTGATTTTGAAAGCTCCAGACAGGGAGAGGAGGCAGGGCCAGCTGGAACAGAGCATACAGGAGGGGCCCTACCAAACTCTCAGTGCCTTGGAAGGCAAAAGCTCTCTGATGCCAGATCTCTCAAATTTATTATATGTAATGTAGTTATGGCCTCTGCTGGAAAAATCTGCTGCCTTCATGTCATCTGAGTGGAAAGAAACACACAGCATGCGTATACCTTTCCTTACACAATGCCCTTGCATCTGTGATAAGGTACATCATGTTCAAGCAAGAAAATTGGGTTCTGGTGATAGCTGATGTCTGTTAATATCTTTATGTCTCGTAAAAATGTTATTTCCAACTGTCCCTGCTACCATTGTAGAGGAGATGATTCTCATTTACCTGCTTTACGGAAGAAAAACTAAAAGCTGATGCAAGGTCACTCTAGGGAACGGAGGATGAAGATAGTACAATATGCTATAGAATCAGAGAATGGTTCAGGTTGGAAGGGACCTTAAAGATCATCTAATTCCAACCCCCCTGCTGCCGGCAGGGACACCCTCCACTAGACCACGTTGCCCAAAGCCTCATCCAACCTGGTCTTAAACACTTCCAAGGATGGGACATCCACAACCTCTCTGGGCAACCTGTTCCAGTGCCTCACCCCTCTAACAGTAAAGAATTTCCTCCTAATGTCTAATCTAAATCGACCCTCCTTCAGCTTGAACCCATTACCCCTTGTCCTGTCACTACACTCCCTGATAAACAGTCCCTGACCATCTTTCCTGTAGGCCCCTTCAGGTACTGGTAAGCCACAATTAGATCTCCCTGGAGCCTTCTTTTCTCCAGGCTGAACAATCCCAACTCCCTCAGGCTATGCCACGGCATGACTGGAAGTGTGTGTGTCTATCTAGCCGTCATATGGTGCGGGCATGAGCAGTTCATGGAGGAGGCTTCTTGCACAACCTGACCTGTGATGGGGGATGCTGGCTTCTTGGTCACATAGTAAGCTTTTTAAGTCATGATGAGGAACACTTGAGATGTGTAGTCCTGCAATGCCTTCTTCAGAGGCTGAACTCTGCTGAGGATTTTTTTTTTTCTGCTGCTGCTGTGCAGGGTTGTAAGTAGAAGTTCTTGGTAGTCATTGAGTGAACGAATCAGGTCTGTGAGAACAGTGATTCATGTCTTCAAGGTTAGAGATTAGAGGGTTAGTCCTCACGATGACCTAAGCATGGATCTTGATTTATTCGGCCAGACCCTCTGTCTGCTGGAAAATACAAACATGCCTGTATACATGATTTTTAAAAATTACTATGGGGGCATTTGGTGTTGACCCTTGTATTTAGACAACCTAGCATTTTCCATACAAAAATTGTGACCTTTTGCTAAGAAGCTCTTAAAACTTCCATTGTTTGCAATAGGCTGTTGACATTTGGTAGGGGAAGCACCATCAGAGAACAAAGTGCCTTTTTATGTTCCACTAAATTAGATTCAGCTTTGAAGGAGATATAAACTGTTAAAATGAACTAGTTCTTTTTTCCTGCTTTCATTCTTCAGGAAAATTCTGGCACGCCACCAAAAAAAAAGTGCCTCCAGTGCTGGACCTGCTGTAACCGTTGCAGCAGTGAGGACAAGAGCTGTGGTGTTTGGAGCTGTCTGAGCAGCTGTGGCAACGGTCACAGCAGACTTTGAAAAGCCCAGCAGCCTCACGGCCGCGCTGCTTTTCCAGGGAATTTCCTGGAGCAGGAAACCCCTCCCCAGCAACCCTCAGTTCACCAGTTAGCCCCTGTGGTCTCTGTTCCTTCTCTCCAAGCGGGTCCTTCCCTCCTGCCTCTTCAAACACCTGCAATTCCTAGGTAGAAAAGAGATTGGGGCAGTTTGCATGGGTGGATGTAGTCCATTGCATGCTGTAGACATCAAGTGTGTGCTGGCTGCAACCACACGATTTGGTGATCTTAATTCTGGCAACTAGGAAATGATGCACCTTCATTATCTTCAGGGCAGGGAGGCAGCCCTGTTGCCTCTCATGGAGCTAGGTCAGACCACTTGCATTCAGTATTACCACCAGCTTTTTGTCAGCCACAAGAAATTAAACACACAAGACAGGATTTCCTGTTGGTGCGGAAACCCTGCACGGTGAGCTCAGCTGAACGGGGCTGGCAGGCAATGATGGCAGTAATACCCGAGGATCCAAGCCCAGCTGGGTGTGGAGAGAGGGGAAGATGGCACCGCATAATTGTGCACCAGAAGCTGCACAGTTTGTTCCCTTTCAAGATGATTCTAATGAGGTAGATTTTTTTTTTCTGATGGCTTTGAAGATTCTGAAAATAATTTTGGTATTTGCATTTATCAAGAGCCCAGCTGTTTCAGCATGGCAAAGCTAGGCAGCTGAGCTGATCTGTCAGGGACAGATCCTGCTCTCGGGCAGGGTGTGCTGCTTTCCACTTCCTTTTGCTTCTGAGCCCTAATGCTCACCTGACTCTTTGAGCCATTTCAGATCAGTAAATCCTCAAAACCTTTGTATTTATTCCTTTTGTTGGCCTCTCTTTTCGCAGGATTGGTGAACTGTATCAGTTTATCTACAGGTGAGAATGAAAACTGGGACCAGCTTTAGGAAGCTGGTGAGACCAGACAAGGGAGGACAAGTGAGCAGGGACGAGCCCTTCAGCAGCCACGAGCTGTTAAATTGGTTCAGCCCCTGTCGTGTAACGACACTGAAATAGTCTACTAAGAAAGCAATCATGACTGATTTCTTTCATGGCAGTGCCCAAGCCATATGCAACAAAGACAACAAAAAGCAATCAACGGCTAATCTTCTTTATAGACAAGCCCACACCAAGCGTGGGATAGAAATAGAAAATGCGTTTTAGCTGTGATTGGCACAGCAGTGGTCAAAAGAGGATCCAGCATGGATCAAGCCTAAGCTGTTGAGATGTTGAGATTTCAAGGAAGACGCATGTTTACATTAGCATTATTCAAACTTCATGTAACGTGGGATATTGTGAATTCAATTGTTCTTGGGATGAATAGAAGATCAAGTATTGTCCTTAAACAATAGAACAGTAAAAACAACATCTGTGAACTAACATTTGTAAGAGAATACAACTATCTCCTTTTTAAGAATGGAGAATGGAAGCAGACAGAAATGATAGCTAAAATTGTTGGAATCATTTTGTTTGCTTAAAGACAGTTGTGGAATACTTGTTCAAGGGATTTAATAGCTTTTTATTGCTTTACATATTCAGAGCTTGTCCTCAGCCATCATGGCTCACTGTTGTAGATGTTTCATGTTTGCAAATCTGGCCACAAGTCTTTCAAGCAGGGCACTCAAAAAATGAGCATTATACCCATTTGACTCAGAATTGAAATGTTAATTAAAAAAAAATGCAAATATTATATTAAGAGCACTTTGGCAAAATGGAGAGTGTCCTAGTGCCCAGAAGGTGTGTTCATCGTCTTTCCGAAATGTGAAACCATCCTTTCTTCTCTTGTTGACCCTTCCTTCATTTGCTACCACCTGTAAATCTTCTGCAAGCAGTGAGATCAAAACCATGTTGATGGAAGCTTTTGTAAATAGTGGGGTAGGAAAAACGCTTAGACACAGCATTTGTCTGAGCACAATATGTGTCTCTAGCATGAAGACTGCTCTGTATATATGCTTCTGAAAATGAGATCTTAGCTTTATCTTTCTGGAGAGCAGACCTCCAGTTTGGAAATACAACATGGACACTTCTAAAGGACAGAGCATTGTGGGGTTATGTTGAAGTGGTGATTCTTTTACCTATAGGTTACTGGTTTGAATCTGGTCAGTTAACAAAAAAAATTCTACTGTGTTCCAGGGTGAGGGATGTGACCCATATATGGTTCCACAGAGTGTGGTAAATCTCCTTACTAGCTTGTAGCTCTTGTTTCCCGCACTTGCTCTGTGCTAAGTAGGGAGCTCTTTGGAACCAGTTACTGAAACAGTGCAGACCAGTGAGGCCCTGCTCATATTGTATCATACATGATAAAACCTGCACGGGTTATCGACACCCTGCTGTATGTCACAGGTTGAAGCTGAATGATCTTTTTCTGGAAAACAAACTGTTGGGAGTTGGCCATTGTTGTGGTTTCTGAATGTGCCATCAATTCTTTTGAAGGCTTGGAATTTTGGAAAGTAAAGGGAGGGGGACAAAAGGAGATTTAGAGTTTGGAATCCCTGAGGTTGGGAGTCTTATGTGACTATCCCCTCCAGAGAAACAATATCACTGTTAAGTTGCTCTTTGTGATAGCCACATCAG